ATCTCGGAGGATTCGATGTTTTTCAAAGATCCTGCACTAAACCAGCCCTAAACCCTAAACCCCAAACCCCAAACCCCAAACCCTAAACCCTAAACCCTAAACCCTAAACCCTAAACCCCTGTCAGCATATGGAGGCTGAAGGGCTCTGAAGGACAGGGGTCTTCTGGCTTGGCTTCCTTCGTTCCTAAGAAGGCAGCCTTTTCGGAAAGAGGTAAAAACCCTCGGCCCGAAGCTTCAAATCCAAACCCTGAGTTCAAGCAAGGCCATACGGGTTTTAGGGTTTAGGGTTTTAGGGCTTCAAAGTTTTAGGGTTTAGGGTTTTAGGGTTTCAGAGTTTTAGGGTTTAGGGTTTAGGGTTTCCTGAATCAAACCTTGAACCCCCAATCCGCTTCTCCCCAAACCACCGACGTCTCAACCTCCCCCCCCCCCTTCAAGCCCCTGTGAAATCCTCCGCCAAGCTCAGGCAGACGGCCCCCAGATCTTTGAGTTTCTGCTAGCGTCCCTTGGCAGCAGATTCCCACCCATCCCTTTTCGGCCGCACCCACTTTTTTGTTGGGTGGTCTCAGACCTCCATGGCTAGTTCAGGGGGTTTAGGGCTCTGTAGCGGTAACCTCCAAAGCTTCCGCTTGGGGCCTGTTAGGGCTGTGGAGCTTCGGGCTTAGCACGAGGCGCGGCTGAGCGGCTAAGCTTGAGAGGCAGTACTAGAGCGTGCTCTCTCCCATTGTCACACAGAGGGCTTATGTAGGGTTTGGAGTTTTGGGTTCTGGGTTCAGACTGCAGGACCTTCTTCCCGTTTGTGGTGCCACCCCTGCCAAGGGTGGATATGTGGGAGGTTCCTTGGTCAATTTCTCAAGCCCCCAACTCTACCTATACCTTGCACCCAGCAACCTACACGCTGACCATAGCAGCCCTAAACCCTAAACCCTAAACCCTAAACCCTAAACCCTAAGCCCTAAGCCCTAAGCCCTAAGCCCTAAACCCTGAACCCTGAACCCTAAGCCCTAAGGCCTAAACCCTGAACCCTATAAACCCTAGAACACCCCTACGCCCCTAGGACTCTCTCAGGCCTTAGAATATTTCTTATTCTTAGTTGCTGAGGGTTGTTACATGATACGGTCCCTTACCTTCTTTAAAGGGTTCTGAAGTTTTATATAGGGTATACAAGGCGTCCCGGTTTAAGGGCCCATATTCAGGGACCATGTAACTACAACCCCAAATAGAAACCCGAAACCCTAAACCCTACATAAACCTTAAACCCCAGAACCCTAAAACCGGAAAACGAAAACCCCCCTAAACCCGAAACCCTAAACCCTATCCCTAGACCCTAGACACTAAACCCTTAACCCTAAACCTTAATTAAACCCAACCCTAAACCCTAAGCCCTAAACCCTAAACCCTAAACCCCCCCAGGCCCTGGGTCTCGTCATGCCAAGGACACAGAACCCTTGGGCCACAATTCCAAGCCATGGGGCCTGCCCCTACGACAACTGAGGAATTGGGTCCCCAAGTAGGGTTTGGGTTTAGGGTTTGGGGTTTAGGGTTTAGGGTTCAGGGTTTAGGGCTTGTGGGAGACATGGCCTGAGGCCACCCACCCCTAAGCCCTAAGCCCTAAGCCCTAAGCCCTAAACCCTAAACCCTAAACCCTAAACCCTAAACCCTAAACCCTAAACCCTAAACCCTAAACCCTAAACTCTAAACCCTAAACCCTAAACCCTAAACCCTCAACCCTCAACCCTGAACCCTTAACCCTAAACGCTAAAACCCTAAACCCTTGTAACACTCGCGTTGCGCAGCCGTGCAGAAAAGAAGTGCAGGGCCTTTGCGGTCTCATAGTCATAGTTCAGGGGCCCCCCTAAACAAGCACATCACGGTCTAGGTTTAGGGTTTAGGGTTTAGGGTTTCCTCTCTAGTGCCAGCCGTTTTGGCCGTTTTGCAGCCATGGGCATTTTAGCACCCCAGATCAACCCCGAACGGGCTTGGTGGTTAGGTCTTGGGGATGACCGGCGCTGACACGAGATGGCCCCCCCAGACCTGATGAACCTCAAGCCCTTGCCGGAACATGAGACATGAAAGGTTGGTTGTGATTTTACATTCTTGTCATATTGAATTCCCAACAAGGAGTAACAAAATGGTCATTTTAAATATAATCCCAAAAATGAAGCAGGATAGGACTGATGTTTGGGCCCTACGGGTCAAGTGTGCCAGTGCCGCAGTTTTGGTTCGAGGTAAGAGACGTTGCCAGAGAGCGCCTGCACTTGGCAGGCCTTGAAAAAGTATCATTGTCAGGAATTCGCAGGCCGCCTCCCCGCAGAACTGCTGCCCACAAACCTCTCTAGGCACCATAACTCCCCAAGGCGCGAGCCTGATGGTTTGGGGCAGGATACTCCAGGGAGTCGTGCTAAGCTCCGGTTTGCTTTGGAAGACCCTCCGCGCGCGCCCTCACAACCGCGAGAGAGTCGCCATGCGGCCATCAGCTGCCCGTTGTGCGCGGATAGGGCCGCTCAGCTGCCCTACTTGAAGGTTCAGGGTACTTATCACCCCAATTATAGCTGTACTTATACGCCCCCTGAGTCCCCTAAGTAGGTTATAATTAGATTTATAATTGTGGTTAAAAGTACCCATGAACCTCCAAGTATCCCGTTAGAAGCGCCATGAGGCCACAGTCCAAAGCCCACCGATCCCAAGCGGCCTTTAAGCAAGGTTAGGGGTATAGGTGGGGGCTACTTCTAGGTATTTAGGGACTATGTAAGGTACAAAAAGAGGAAGAAGATTAAGGGCCCCTTCTAGGGGTTCACTTGACTTGAACTTCTAAGCTTATGAAGCCCTGCCCTTTAGCGCCTTAGATGCAGAGCCTGTGAAGCCCTTAAACTTTAACCCCTTGCAGTGTTTAGAGCAGTTAGCAACCTTAAACCCTAAAACCCTTAATGTGCCAAACCCTAAACCCTAAACCCTAAACCCTAAACCCTAGACCCTAGACCCTAGACCCTAAACCCTAGACCCTAGACCCTAGACCCTAGACCCTAGACCCTAGACCCTAGACCCTAAACCCTAAACCCTACCTCTGACCCATTGATAGAGCCGACCTGAAGGCCGAAGCCCCTAGGGTTTAGTGCTCAGGGTTTAGCATGTAGGGTATCGGGCCTCAGGGTCAATCTTTGAACCCTCCCTAAATTTCCAGTACTTTGAAACTTACACCCCAAAAAGGCTAGAGCCTACAAACTCTACCACCCCTAAACCTCGTGAAGGTTAAGGGCTTCGGGGGTTTAAGGCTTAGGGGCTCAAAAACCCCAAAACCCCAAAACCCCAGAACCCTGAAACCTTGAAACCCTCAAACCCTAAAGCCCTAAGACCCTAAGACTCTAAAACCCTAAACCCTCAAACCTCAAACCCTAAAACCCTAAAACCCCTAAACCCTAAACCCTAACCCCGAAACCCTAAAGCCCTAAGATCCTAAACCCCTAAACCCGAAACCCCAAACCCTAAACCCCTAAACCAGGGCTCTGGTTCTTCTCTTGGCTAGCCCTAAACCCTCTAGTTTCCGCAATTAGGGTCCCTTTTTGGCTAATTTCCCAAACCCCAAACCCCAAACCCCAAACCCCTAAACCCCAAAACCCCAAACCCCTAAACCCCTAAACCCCTAAACCCCTAAACCCCTAAACCCCTAAACCCCTAAACCCCTAAACCCCTAAACCCCTAAAACCCTAAACCCTAAACCCTAAACCCTAAACCCTAAACCCTAAACCCTAAACCCTAAACCCATTTCGATAAAGACCTCTCCTAGGGCTCTGGTTCTTCTCTTGGCTGCTGCCTGGGCGGCGCGGGGATCCGGGCGTGCGGCGGCGGGCGCCGGCGACGCCGAGGGCACAGGAGTGGCGCGCGGATTCGGGTTTAGGGTTTTAGGGCTTAGGGTTTAGGGTTTGGGGTTTAGGGTTTAGGGTTTAGAGTTTAGGGTTTAGGGTTTAGGGTTTACGGTTCAGGGTTTAAAGTCTGGGGTTTAGGGTTAGGGTGTAGGGTTTAGGGTTTAGGGTTTAGGGTTGTTTGAGGGTTCAGGGTTTTCAACAGCTTCCGGGGTCTATGTTTTTCATGGCCTAGGTGGCTTAGGGATGTTGCCTGGGGTCTGGGACTTTGTGGGTCGTGTCTCAGGCTCAATTATAGTCCGCGGAGCCCGATTGTTCTTTATTTTGGCGGAGAAGCTTTCGGCTGGCTGTGGATCCCAAGCCCAACACCCCAAGCCCTAAATCCCAAACCCTAAATCCTAAACTCCAAACCTAAACCCTAAACCCTAAACCCTAAATCCTAAACCCTAAACCCTAAACCCTAAACCCTAAACCCTAAACCCTAAACCCTAAACCGGTTTTCTCGATGCCACCTTTAACCTCGGACCCCGCAGCCCTAAACTCGATACGTCGGTGTCCTAGTCTGGGCGCTGCTTGGAGGTCATACTTATAAGCCCCCTAAGTCCCCTAAGTAGTTCATCAGTAGATTTATAAATATGGTTTTAAGTACGCATGAACCTCCAAGCTCAAAGTTCGGTATAGGGTTTAGGGTTTTAGGGCTAGGGTTTTGGGTTTAGCATAGGGTTTAGGCTTTTGGGTTTGTTCAGGGTTTCTTCTGCGAGTCTCCTTTAAACGGCAACTACGAGAGCGAAAAACAACGGAGGTCCTACCTAGAGCCCCAGTTTCGCCGAGGAAGCTGGCCCTGAAGCTAGAGCTTCCTGACTTGAGATGTTCCCCCTGAAACTCACCGTCCTTAACAGGCCTTTGCAATAGGACGTACAAAAATCCCGATTAAGGACTCTTAGTATGAGAGGGGAACAGCCCAATCCCCGACCCCAAAGCCCCCCAAACCCGGAAGTCGATGTGTGTTTCAGAGGCTTGCGCCCTCTTTTGGGCATGGCTTTCTTGCCCCCTTTTTCGGCTCCAAAAGCGTCTCTGCTCCAGGCCTCGCCCCATCTGCTTTAAACCCAAAGTCTTCCCCGAGTGCGCTCCCACGCTGGCCTTATGGGGCACCTCAGGGCCTGGGTTCCTTGCCTTCTCCTGGCCTCCAGTGCCTCCACCGCGCCCGCGGCCGCGGCCGCGGCCGCGGACGTCTCCGTGAACTTCTCGGAGGTGATCCGGACCTCGCGCACGCTGACTACGCTGCAGGTCGGGGCCCTAAACCCTAAATTTAAACCCCAAACCCCAAACCCTAAACCCTAAACCCTAAACCCTAAACCCTCAACCCTCAACCCTAAACCCTAAACCCTAAACCCTAAACCCTAAACCCTAAACCCTAAACCCTAAACCCTAAACCCTAAACCCTAAACCCTAAACCCTAAAGGTAGGACATCCCCCCTTGTCATATCGTAACCCCCCCCCCCCCCCAAGTGAATCTCGGAGCCCTGAAGGTGGTCTCCAACCCCATCCTGGACCGCACCCTGGTGGCGCCCAATGGAGCCTTAGGGAATTCCTGGAAATGTGTTTTCTTTTTGAGTTTTTGGGCATTTTTAATTCCTAAGAACCTTAGGGAATTCCCGGAAATATGCTCCTTTTTGAGTTTTTGGGCGTTTTAATTCCGAAGAAACGGCTACGAGTATAATTTTTGCTAGGGTCCCAAGTATAGAACTAAGCCCTAAGCCCCAAACCCTAAACCCTAAACCCTAGACCCTAGACCCTAGACCCTAGACCCTAGACCCTAAACCCTAAACCCTAAACCCTAAACCCTAAACCCTAAACCCTAAACCCTATTAAGCGTGTTCAGCATAGGAACTTCTTTCCCGAATCCCATTCACGACGCTGCCTGGGGCTCCTTGAAGGCTTTGCAGGCCGACTTGGTACGCTTTGTGCCCTCAGTAGCTGAGTGAGTACTCCTTTTTAGGGTTTAGGGTTTAGGGTTTAGGGTTGAGGGTTTAGGGTTTAGGGTTTAGGGTTTAGGGCTACTATTATCCCTGGTGGAACTGAAAGTGTACACTTTTTTTGGGGGGGCCTATGAACTCAGCGACTAAGGTGCCCTGGTATCCCTATCCCAAGAAGAGCGTTGCCGAGCTGGATGCCCCCACGCCCACCAAGACTTCCTGGGGTTTTTGCAACCCTAAACCCAAAAAGCCCTAAAAGCCCTAAAAAGCCCTAAAAAGCCCTAAAAAACGCTACTAAACCCTAAACCCTAAACCCTAAACCCTAAACCCTAAACCCTAAACCCTAAACCCTAAACCCTAAACCCTAAACCCTAAACCCTAAACCCTAAACCCTAAACCCTAAACCCTAAACCCTAAACCCTAAACCCTAAACCTACTAAACCCTAAACCCTAAACCCTAAACCCTAAACCCTAAACCCTAAACCCTAAACCCTAAACCCTAAACCCTAAACCCTAAACCCTAAACCCTAAACCCCAGCTGGAGGACTTCCTGGAATTTTACAAGCATCCTACCGCAGCTGGAGGACTTCATGGACGCTGTGTATGGGCAGAACCACACCGTCGTTCTCAACTTTGCAACCCAACCTTGCTGGCTTTTCGGGGATGCTCAGAACAGAACCCAGAACTGCTCGTACCCATCCAATCCGGACGAGTCGTTCCGCGGGTATGTTCGCGGCAATCGTAAGAACCTCCTGGATCCGAGCGGCAAAACCATGGCCTCGTACTTTGCACGGCTGTTGTCTTATCTCGTGAAGGGCGAGTTTGTAGACGAGAACGGCGTCAAGCACACGGGGGGGCCAGCTTACACCCGCTTCAACCGCCAGAATGGACACGTCTGGGAGTTGTTCAACGAGGGCGAGCACGCCTACAATGCCGAGCAGTATACTCACGACTATGATGTGTTCCTTGCTAGCCCTGTGCTGCCCTTTTGCTCCTTTCTGTTGTGGTTCTAGGCTCCCTGAACAGAAGCCACCAACCCCCCAACAAGGGCACCCCTACTTGAATAGGGTTTAGGGTTTAGGGTTTAGGGTGTAGGTTTAGGGTTTAGGGTTTAGGGTTTAGGGTTTAGGGTTTAGGGTTTAGGGTTTATTAGGGTTTAGGGTTTAGGGTTTAGGGTTTAGGGTTTAGGGGACTGAGCTACCAAGGATTGTTCCTGAAATGATTAAGGCCGTTGGTGGCCCCGACCATGCACCAGCCTTTATGGGACTTGGTGGTGTCTCCCCAGATTGGGTTCCGCCCTTTCTGAATCGCAGCAATCATAGCTTGCCTGCTCCTCCAATCGATTACATCTCCGTGCACCACTATGCGTCCTGCTCGAATCGCACAGATCCCTCTACCTACTCTGCCGGCTTCTTCGGCAACTTCGCTGCATGGATGAAGTCCTTCAAGGAGACGGTGATGGCAACGCGCGATGCCTCCTCGTTTCCCAAAGTGGGGGTTTACGAAAATAGGGGACCCCACTATAGATCCCCAAAAAGTAGGCTTCCCTTGATAAAAAGGACCCCCCAGCAAGGTACCCCCAAATTTCGGAAACCCTAAACCCTAAACCCTAATCCCTAAACCCTAAACCCTCAACCCTAAACCCAAAACCCTAAGCCCTAAGCCCTAAGCCCTAAGCCCTAAGCCCTAAGCCCTAATTTCGGAAAGCCCCCGAAGGTCAAGCTTGATCTGGATGAGCTAGGCGTCATCATGCCAGATGACAACAACCCGAATCGCGGGATCGATGCGGACCTTCCTGACATCTACTGGAGCCTTGGGGGTGCCAAATTGGAGTCATATGCCCTTACTACTTTAGGGTTTAAGGTTTACGGTTCAGGGTTCAGGGTTTAGGGTTTAGGGTTCTCATTCAGGTATGTGCGCCACGAACCCCTAAAGGGGCTCATCTCGTCACCAAGGAATGCGGCTGGGGCCCTGTACGCATATGTCTTTGCAAGCCTGGCGCCTCTGGGCGTTGAGGTCCTGGGCCAATCTCAGTTGGCTGGCAGCCCAAAGATCCCCGAGTGGGGGATCCCGCTCCCGCAGTTTCCCAGCGTCAGCTTGCTGGACTGGAGAACGGGCCTGGGCAACGCGCGGTACCTATATCCTGCTTGGGAAGTATTTTCTATTTTTGTTCATATAAAACCCAAGAGGATATTAAAAAAAAAATATTAAGGTTCTAATAAGGGGAGTATAGGTACTGGGTGCTGAAGCTCCTGATTGAAGAGTTTGCGCCCGGTGATTCCTTGGTTGCCACGCGGTGCCATCAAGGCCAGCCGGAGAAAACTCCCGAGCTGAGTTGCCTGGGTGCCCTCACAAAGGACGGGTCTCAGAAGCTTCTGATCGTAAATCACCTGAACGCCATTCAGCCGGTGCAGTTGAGCGGCTTCGGGGCCGGCGGCGTGACCTTGAAAATCGTTGATCCCAAGTCTGTGCAGGTGGCAAGTTCCCAGGGCATCCGGAGCTCGTCTCAGGATGCCAGCAAGCCACTCAGCTTAGAAGCCTTTGCAGTGGTGGTGGCATCCCGTGCCGCTTCATCGGCCATCTTCGTATGAGAGCTGTTTAAAGGTTCTCAGGTCGTCGAGGTCGTTTCACGCTGCTCCGCTTCAGGCTGGCGTCACAGCAGTCCCGCATATCAAGCTCCAAAATCCCGACTTGGGGGCGTGGGGTTGGGGGTGTTCTTGTTAGAGGTTCAGGAGACTTACACCTGCACATGCATCCAGTATAAGTTTCATGCATCGTTGCCAATTGCTAGAAGCTTAGAACTACAGTTGCTTTAGAAGTACCCTGAACTCAGGAGACCTCGTGACAGGAGGCTACAACGAGAGTCCAGCAATCCTTTGTTTGAAGAATGTACCCATATTTCACGACAGGACCCTTATGTGCTTTAATGTCTCCCATGCCAACCCTACACCCTAAACCCTAAACGCCCTGAACCCTCAAAGCCTCACGAAGTCTAGGCTCCTTGTGTACTGGGCAGGAGATGTTCTGGCCGTTGCGCGCAGCGTCATGGCCAAGGCGGCCCAGTGTGCTGAACCTACTAGCCCATACCAGGAAGGTACCCTACAACGTTCTTCAAGTTACGCAAGCCCGTAGGCTCCTGGATTCCATAGTTGGTCCTACTGAGCACCACTAAACCCTGAGCCCTGACAGTGTGTGTGGGACGGGATGTCCATACGAAGCGCTGAGTAGACTGCATACAAGCCGGCCCGCTCTCCACCTAAGCCCTAAACCCTAAACCCTAAACCCTAAACCCTAAACCCTAAACCCTAAACCCTAAACCCTAAACCCTAAACCCTAAACCCTTCCACCTAAGCCCTAAACCCTAAACCCTGGAAGCCGCTTGGGGAATCTATGGGATCATGATGGGACCTCTACTCCCCCTTAAGCCAGAACACAGGGAGTATGCTCTGGGCTCACATATCCTTGCCCTAAACCCCTAAACCCCAAACCCGCAGCCCTAAACCCCTGACCTAAACCCCTAAACCCTCCACCCTCAACCCTCAACCCTAAACCCTACATCCCCACCCTCTGAACGGTAAAACCCCGAACACCGAAACCGGCATGGTCCTTTGGCACGCCCGCGGAATAGAGTATTCTCCCAACCCTGAACTCCCTAAACCCTGAACTCCCAAAAGGGTTTGCGGTTTAGGGTTTAGGGTTTAGGGTTTAGGGTTTAGGGAATAGGGTTTCCTAACGCCCTGAGAAGAGCCCAGAACCAGATGCGCGAGGTTCGGGATCTTCAGACGCAGGTGGAGGCTCTGTAAGTCGGGGTGTGCTGTGCCATCAATTGGGGTTTGGTTTTTGGGGTGTTTAATTATTACTGTTATTATTATTTCGATTATTGTTATTATTATGATTATGATGATTTTTATCATTATTTGTTTTTTCTTTGTTGGGGGGGGGGGTTGTTTTTAAATTTTTCGCGATGTAGGGGTTTAGGGGTTTAGGAGTTTAGCGGTTGAGGGGTTTAGGAGTTCAGGGGTTTAGGTTTTCGGGTTTAGGTGCTTAGGTTTGTAGAGTCTAGGGTTTTGCAGCTTTCAGTTCTCCGAATTTGTAGCCCCCCCGGGGCACACATGGGCGCACTGAAGACGGGGCCCGGTGCTGATCTGGACCTCCACAAGGGATCATAGTTGGGGAACACTGAACCCTAAACCCTAAACCCTAAACCCTAAACCTCAAAAAGGGACAAGTGCTAATTAAGGAGCCAGCTTTGGTGGCCTTGGGGCTAATGACTTCTGTGGGTCAGGATATTGGGAGTCTGAGGCTTTTTGGGCCGTCTAGGGTTTAGAGTTTAGCAGGCATCCTGCAATTTTGTTGAAGGGGTTGACATGAGGGTGGAGTTTCTATTATGAGCCCGTCAGTGTATGAGCTTGGGGCGAACGTTTTGGGGTTCAGGGTTTGCGGTTAGCCCAGCCAAGGCCCTAGACCCTGCAGAAGCCTTAAAGTACAAGCGTCGGGTATCCGCACTGGGAGTACCCTCTTGCGCTGCCAGCCCTTCACACCCTTCACCCCCGAGAAAGCCCTGAACTGCGGAAATCACAAGCCCGAACGGCCGAAACCCGACGCTGTCAACTTCCATGAGTATAGGCCCGATACCCTGGCCTAGCAGCCAGCAAGATCCAAGACCCTAATCCCCAAACCCGAAACCCAGGGTTTTAGGGTTTAGGGTTTAGGATTTAGGGTTTTGGGTTTAGGGTTTAGGCTAAACCCCAAATCCTTAAACCCTGAAGCCCTAGACCGAAGATCCCCAAGCCAGAAAACCTGACATGCTTAGGGTGTCAATAAATGTGGTGCTTTACTGTAACTTTACATCCTTAGCCTTTTCGGGCTTATTGGGTTTCTTAAGAAGGCAGCTAACAAAAAAACATAGCTACCCTCCTAAGTGCAGCCAAGTAAAATGGTCCCTCAGTTTCTTTAAAGGGTTCTGAAGTATGTGGGCACAAGGCGGTGGATGGGGTACATAAAGGGTCTCAAAATTAAGGCCCCATATGACCCTAAACCCTAAACCCTAAACCCTACACCCTGAACCCTAAACCCTAAACCCTAAACCCTAAACCCTAAATCCTAAACCCGAAACGCCCCCCTTGAAGCGCCCCAAGGTTCCTGAGGTTCAGGGGTTTAGGGTTTAGGGTTTAGGGTTTAGGGCTTTGGGCCATCAGTCCAAACCCCCCAAAGGCCTGCAGCTCTGTTGTTTAGGGTTGAGGGGTTGGGTTAAGGCGGTTTAGGGTCAGAGGGCATAGGGTTCTTAACAGGGTTTAGTGTTTCAAGGGTTTTGTAAAACCCTCCACCTCAGACCCTAAACTCTAAAACCCCTAAACCCTCAGCCTAAACCCTACCCCCCCCTCCTCCCCTAAAAGCCCCAAAACCCTGAAAACCCTAAAAGCCCCCCCAAAAACCCCTTCAAAACCCTTATAAAGCCCCAAACAAGAACCCCAAAAGCCCTAAACGCCCCGAGCCCTAAGCCCGAGTCAAAGAGAGCGTCAGGCCGGCGAGCTGGTGCCCAACTTCGGGGAGAAAGCCGCCAGCATCGTTTCGGAGGCCCTGGGCTCCCCTTTGTTCTTCGTAGCGAATTGATTTAGGGAGTTAGGGTCCCCTTTTGTAGTCCCTTTTAAGGGAGTATGTAGGGTGCCCTAAAAAGCCCTTTGCATCTATCACTCCATCATGGGAGGAACTTTGTGTTTCCCAAGCCGATCAGATTTGAATTCGACCTACTTCGGTAGTTCGGCTCTACGCCTCTTGACCAGATTCCAAAGGCTCGCGAGGCCACTGGATAGAGTGGGCAAAATCTAATCCCTTAAAGGGTATACATTGCGGGATATCGGGCCCTATATACCCAGCAAGGGTATTATAGGTATGTATATATATATATATATATATGCTCTTTAAGGGATTACGTCGGGTACCCTATATAATCCCTTAAAGGGTGCATATAGGACTATATGGGGTACCTCATCCCCTCCTTCCCTACTAAGCACCAGCCAGTTGTGCAAAGGTTGAGGGCTGTCCAGGGTTCAGGGCATGGAATTGAAGGTCCTGATCACCGAAGCCTTAAGACTTAAGCCCTATGCCCTAAGCCCCAAGCCCTAAGCCTCAACCCTAAACCCTAAACCCTAAACCCTAAACCCTAAACTCAGGGCCCTTCGACCTCTATGGCGAAGGTCGACCCAGGTCGCTTGCCCGCCTCCTGCAGCCAGGAGGTCGGTAGCACCCACGATGGGCCCGGTACCGGAGCAGGTTCTCCCGGGGACCAGTACTGGTCCCCTTAAAAAGGTAAATACCCTAAACCCCAAGCCCTTCACCCTGATGGGGCTGGCATTTCGGGGGGGCGTACCCCAAGGCCCCCAGGCCAGGAGGACCCGGACCCCTCACCGCAGCGTGTCCAGGGACCAGGGGGCCTCAGGCCAGGCCAGGCAGGGCGGGTGCTCAAAAACCTGGTTTTTGGGTGTTTTGGGCTTAAGCCCCTGGCTTCCTGGCACCCTGGCCCCCCTGGCCCCCCCCTGGCCCCCCTGGCCCCCCTGACCCCCCTGGCCCCCCTGGCCCCCCTGGCCCTTCCTGGCTGGCCCGCCTGGCTCCCTGGCCCTGCCTGGCCCCCTAAGCTTCTGGCTCCCTGACCCTCCTTGGCCTGCTGGCCCCCCTGGCCTCCCTGGCCCCCCTCCTCTGGCCCGCCTAAATTGCTCCCTTGCCCCTTCGGCCCCCTCCTGATCCCCCTGCTAACCCCTCCCCAACTCGCTGGCCCCCCTCACCTTCCTGACCGTTATGCCGGCTCTTGTGCCGGCTGCCCCCTGCCTCCCTGGCTCCTAGCCTGGCCCTTTGTCTCCGACCCACACCCGAACATCATGAAACTGAATAAGTTTTTAAAAATGAACTGTTGCCTTGAGTTTAGGCCTAAACCCTAAAAGGAATAGCTTTGGGTGGTTTTGCCGCCTCGGACGGCGTGGGGTGGGAGAAAAGTGTTAGATGGCCCTCCACAATCGGGCCAAAGCTGCTCTTCGCACCTCACGAAGCTTTCGAGCTGGTTCCGAAACCTAACCTTCACAGCACCTACGCCCTATCACAGCAAACCCTAAACCCTAAACCCTAAACCCTAAACCCTAAACCCTAAACCCTAAAAACCCCTAAGCCCTAAAAACCCTAAGCCCTAAAAACCCTAAGACCCGAAACCCCAAGTCCTAAGCCCCCGAAACAAGCCCGCGAGTTGAACCTGCTGAGGGTCGAGAAAGACTGCGCCACAGGGCCCCCTGGGGTCTTCGTGGTGGGGGTTTCAAAGGGCTCTGGGGGCTTCGGGCTTAGGGGGTTTAGTGTTTAGGGGTGTTCACTAAACCCTAGAACCTAAAACCCCAAAGCCCTAAACCCTAAACCCTAAACCCCAAGGCCCTAAACTCGAAACCCCAAGCCGCACTTCAGCAGGCACGCAGGGGCGGCTCGGAGCTCGAGAAGGCTGTGGAAGGCACAAGCAGGGGGCATTCACAAAGGGTTCTTCGGGGTTTAGGGTTTAGGGTTTAGGGGCTTATGGTTTAGGGGCTTAGGTGAGTTGATTAACTTTCACCCGCCCGCCCCCTCCAGTAGATTGTTCCAAAGCCCACCCCTCGAAGCTGCCCATTCAGGGCCGTGGCTCGAGGTATCCCTAAACCCTAAACCCTAAACCTATAAGCCCTAAACCCTAAACCCTAAACCCCAAACCCCAACCCTAAATCTGCTTTTTGCTTCGCAGGCTGGGGCTGTCTGGCAGTTGGTCTTGGGGAGCAGTTGTTTTTGGGTGGGTTTCGGTGCTCAGGATATTGGAGTTGGACCCGTGTTTGTGGGTTTAGGGTTTAAGGTTAAGGGTTTAGGGTTTAGGGTTGGCAAGTACCCCAGGCGAGCGATTTTCCGCGCGGGGTTGACCTCCAAGTTCCGGGCCGGTGCTTGGGTGTTCTGGCACAGTATAGCTGCCTACACCCTGAATGCTAAATTGCCGAGCCTTTCCCTGACTTTGCTCGCTCTCCAACCTCTAGTGCTGTGGACACAGGCTCGACCTTAGTGGAGCAGGGGTGTATGGTGTCGGGCTTTTGGCTTGCTACAGTTTATAATTCCCTCTCGGCACATTTCTTTCAGAGAAAGCAACTTGGTCGACGGGCTATGGATTGCATGTTGACTCGAACAGCACAGAGTCTGCAACCAGAGTAGGTGAAGGACTGACTCAGGGCTACATCTTTCTGGGGTTGGCTACCCCGACCGCGCCACGAGCAGACCCATAAACGACAAATGGCTCCAGCTGCAAGCTCCTGATATTTACCTGGACACCCTGGATAGTTCAGGGTTTAGGGCTTGGGGCTTCCGGGACCTTCATGAGGGTACAACAGGTTTACGTGTCGCTATCATACCCTCTCCCAAGACCTAAATCCCCTGGACCCTAAACCCTAAACCCTAAACCCTAAACCCTAAACCCTCAACCCTCAAACCCTAAACCCTAAACCCTAAACCCTGAACCCTCAACCCTAAACCCTAAACCCTACAGCTCCCAACCTCCCTAAGCCTTGCCATCTTGAAGGAGCCCTCGAGCCTCTCTTCATCAAGCAGATCTGGGAGACTTGGCGATCCCGTTGCAGTCGCAAAATTCTGGTCTGAACCCGACAGCCTAAACCCTGAACCCTGAACCCTGAACCCTAACCCCTGAACCCTGAACCCTGAACCCTAAACCCTAAACCCTAAACCCTAAACCCTAAACCCTAAACCCTAAACCCTAAACCCCTAAGCGGGGGCGGGTTGTGCTAGCTGCCTCATAGTGTAGCTCACCGAAAACTCTAGGGGTTCGGGTTGAGGGCTTAGGGTTTAGGGTAGCTCACAACGAAAGTCCTGAGAACATCCACCAAAGGGTATATCGGGGGATCTATGCGGCACCTACTTCCCGAATTCCCTACTGCTTCCCAGTAGAACACCAGAGCTCTAAAGTGCCAAGGCCATGAGGCCTGCTGTCCCGCCCAACCCCAAAACCCTAAACTCTAAACCCCAGACCTCCAAACCCTAAACCCTGAACTCTAAACCCTCAACCCTAAACCCTAAACCCTAAACCCTTACCGGAAGGCGTCCGAGTTTAGCCAGCCAAGGAGCTGAAAAGCAAGCACGCCGCCACCGATGTGCCCTGCGACCTGGACGCTGCTTCTCCACTGCAAAGATATAAGGGTTTAGGGTTTAAGGGTTGAGGGTTTAGGGTTTAGGGTTTGCTTTGGGGGGCTTAGTGCAAAAGCTTACGAAAAGGGACCCTAACCTTTGCAAGCTCCCCTCTGGGAGTTGTTTTTATTATGGTCTGTCCCTTAGATGCGATAGCTCATGGCAAGAAAAATAGTCCCCTACATCGGGAATGAGATTCTGTTCTGTGGCAGGGTTGAGGGTTTAGGGTTTAGTTTTTTTTAGGGTTTAGGGTTTAGGGTTTACGGTTTATGGTTTGCGGTTTCGGGTTTCGGGTTTGGGGCTTGGGGTTTAGGGTTTAGAGTTTAGGGTGTAATGAGGTTGTTCAAAGGGATCGTTGCTGACCATCCCACGAGCCCTGTGAAGTTGAATGTGCTATGGACTTTCGTGCAGGTAAGTTCTCGTCCTTTGCTGCCGCCATCTGATAGGACGTTTCCATGTCATACCTCAGAAGAAGAATATATGGTGGTTTCCGAAATTAGGGGTACCTTATTGGGGCCCGTATGATAAGGGGACCCTACTATTTGGGTTCTATTTTAGGGGTCCCTCATTTTCTTAAACCCCCCTATTGAGCATGATTGTGCTTTAAGGGTGGAAACTGAGTTGCGTCGGTGATCAGCTAGGCAAGCTACATTGTTCATTAGGGTGGCACCTCCAGCCTCAAATTCAAAACCCACACAACCCTTCAACAGAAACACGCCAGAGGCGAAAGCACTTAAAATCCTTCAAAATTCTGCATCTGTAGCGTGCCCATGCCATCAACACTTTCATGCCCTGACAGAACCCTGCACCCCAAACCTAGGCCATCTTCAAAGAATCCCCTGCGCCTGCAACACCCTCAAAAACCTTGACAAATCCCCATAAAGCTCAGGTTCACTGAAAACACCCACAAAACCGCACAACAACCGATCCTACGACACCCGAAAATCAACCCGAAAACCCCTAAAATCCTAAAACCCTAAGACCCTAAAACCGTAAAACCCTAAAGCCCTAAAACCCTAAAGCCCTAAGACCCTAAAACCCTAAGGCCCTAACACCCTAGAACCCTCAGAAGCCTCCGGGCTCGGCACTCCCAGGTCAATGCCGAGGAGAAGAAGTTTCAAGACGAGGCTGTGGAGGGCTATTGCGCTTTTCGGGTTTTCGGGCTTTAGGGTTATATATATATATATATAGAGAGAGATGTACAATTTTTTTAACCGGATTTTTAGGGCTTGTGATTTTCGTTTTTTTTTGGGCTTTTGGGGCTTTTTGGGCTTTCGGTTAGTTTTTTTTTTTTTTTTTTTGGGGGGGGGGGGGGGGGGTTAGGTTTTTAGTGTTTTGAGGGCATTTGGGACTTTTGGGGCTTTTTGGGGGTTCAAGGTTTTTGTTGAGGGTTTTTAGGGCTTTTTGGGGTGTTTAGTCAGGGTTTTTTGGGGTTTTTAGGGTTTTTTAGGGCTAGGGCGTTTAGTGCTTTGGGGGGCTTCTTGGGGCCGAGGGCTTCCGGTGAAATATGTTTTTTTTTTTTTATTTGTAAGGGCTTTTCGGGCGTGTGGGGTTTTTAGGTTTTTGGGGTTTCGTGGTTTTTGGGGTTTTGGTTCTTCGAGTTCTATATGGCGGTGTGTGTGTGTGCGTTTTCTCGTGGGACGGGTGTTTGAACCGGGCTTATTGTGTTCGGGCTCCACGGGTTGAAAGGTGGTCGGGTGGGTTTATAGGGTTTAGGGTTTAGGGTGTAGGGTTTAGGGTTTAGGGTTCTATCCCTTGTGGCACAAGGTTTAGTCATTCGATTCTGCTGGGGATCAGAGGGTCTCTCCTAGGAAGTGTTCGGGGCAGTTCTTCCTGAACTCAGATGTGCTACATCAAGCCTATACCCAACCCTAAACCCTAAACCCTGAACCCTAAACCCTAAACCCTAAACCCTAAACCCTAAACCCTAAACCCTACACACCCTAACCTGAGTGCCACGAGCCACACTACAGACACGCCGTCGAAGGCACTGGCTCAAGGTGTGCAGGCCTAGCAGGGAACTCCTCGCCCTCTGTGATTGTGTCCCCCTTGGGAATCATTTTTTCTGTATTTTTGTTTGTATAAAACCCAAGAGGGTATTAAACAGTATTGTCTTTATTAAGCTTCCAAGGGGAGTGTGGGTGATGGACCCGTTTAAGAAGAAGCTGGCGCAGCCGGTCGTGAGCACTTGGTCCTCCAATGTCAAGCAGATGCTCCAAGCCTCTGATGATCCGAGCCTGGGGTGTTCTTCAACCTTACCTGTGTTCGGGTGTTCTCTTGGTTTTGGTGAGGTATTGTTCCTTATGTACTGACTGTTTGAGAACCACCAATAAAAATGTGAGCTCATCCCAGAAATCCGACCCCCCGGCCCCCTCCCTCCGCCCTCCCCCCTCCCCTCCCACCTTGACGCCTCCAATCGTGTGTTAACTCCCCCCCCCCCCCCCCCCGCCCCCGCACCCTAAAACCTTCAAGAAACAGCGAAGGAAAGATTTTCACGACACACTGGTGGCTATGCTCCAGTCCAACGGAGAGCGCTCCTTTGGCCCTTGTTGAGAAGAGGGGAAGCCATATTCAAAACCGGGGTTTAGGGCTTAAGGTAAATACAGGGGTTGATGATGCCCTTTTTTGAAGGGAGTTTGCTTAGTTACGGAACTGAGGCAAGTGAAGGAGTCCAGCACTTCAGGGTCAGCAGGCCCTCAAACCCTGACCCTAAATTAGGGATGTTAAGGTTACGGGTTTAAGGGTTTAGGGTTTAGGGTTTAGGGTACCCTGACCCTAAACCCCGAATGCTGTTGGCCTGTGCAGGACAAGACTCTGAGGATACTATTTTTTAGACATGTCTAAAACATGTCTAAAAACTGTTGCAACTGGATACTAATTTTTAGACATGTCTAAAAATTAAAGGACCGGATAACCCCACATGCAAAGTTATCTATTCGCAAAGAGTGCATAAGTGAATATGAGTGAGAGGGTGAGAGGGTGAGAGAGTGAGCGAGTGAGCGAGTGAGTGCTTGAGTGTGAGTGAGTGCTCGTGAGTGAGTGATTGCGTGAGTGTGAGTACGTGAGCGAGAGTGTGAAGCGTGTGTGAAGCGTGTGTGAAGCGTGTGTGAAGCGTGTGATGAGTTGCTTGGATGGTAGGTTGGTGAATGGTGTGTGATGGAGGAAGGAGGAGGAGGGGAAGGAGGAGGAGGAGGGAGGAGGGAGGAGGGAAGAGGAACGTTTCGCGCGGTACGGCGCATTGTGAGTGGTGACAGTCATGGTGTCTGCGTCAGTCATGGCGCTCAGTCATGGTGAATGTCAGTCACGGTGTGTGGCGCGTTGGTGCATAGCTTGGTAAGATGGTGTGTGGTGCATTGGTGAGTCATGGTGTGTGTGTGGGGCGTTGGTGCATAGCGTGGTAAGATGGTGTGCGGCGCGTCGTTCTGCACATAGCGTGGTAAGATGGTGTGTGGTGCGTTGGTGAGTCATGGTGGTCATGATGTGTGGTGCGTTGGTGAAGAGAAGAGGAGGAGTGTGGTGCGTTGGTGAGTCATCGTTGGTGAGTCATGGTGTGTGGTGGTGGCGTTGGTGAGTCATAGTGGGTGAGTCATGGTGTGTGGTGCGTTGGTGACGAGAGGAGGAGGGAGGAGAGGAGGGAGGAGGAGAAGGAGGGAGGGAGGGAGGGAGGGAGGAGGGAGGAAGGCGGAGGAGGCGGAGGAGGAGGAGGAGGAGGAGGAGGAGGAGGAGGAGGAGGAGGAGGAGGAGGAGGAGCTGGAGGAGCAGGAGGAGAAGGAGGAGGAGAGGAGGAGAGGAGGAGGAGGGAGGAGGAGGAGGAGGAGGAGGAGGAGGAGGAGGCGGGACAGCCCAAAAAGTAAGAACCCCACACAAAGATGTGGGGAGAAAAATATCCAGTTGCCCTCGCCCTCTGCGCGTCGCGCGATTTCCGTCGGGGCTCTGGGGCTGGTCGGCCTTCGACCAAGCACTCGTGGCCAAACCCTGGAAAGGGTTTAGGGTTTAGGGATGTTTAGGGTTTAGGGTTTAGGGTTTTAGGGTTAGTCAAACTGTTTGTGGCGTAGAACTGACCGGTGCATGAGATTCAGCACAAGGCCTGTGCCCGGTTTTATACCGGGCTCGTCAGCACGGCAACTCCTTGTTCTCTTCCTCATCGTCATGAGCCGCCCTCATGATATCCCTGTCTTCAATTGCCTCCAATAGACTGCTCCGCCACCATGGCTGCCCTCCCTGAGTTTTCGGCCGTTCCACTTCACCGTGCAGCAGCCTGTCCACTCCCGTCGAGGAGTCTGCACATTCCTACAGACCCTGTTGTCATCAAGAGGCGCCACTGCTGGTGGAAAATTCCTTCTCGGCCCTCAGAAGTAGGGAAGTGCATGTGAACCTTTCTTGTTTGCACATGGCTCTGCAAGATCAGAGCCTTGTGTCCGGTTTTGCGGCTATTGGCGGTTAGGGGGCATGAAGAGCTCTGTTACAAGCACGGCTTAGGGGGCTTCAGTTCCTTTTCAGTCTTGAGGCTACGATCAAGTGTAGCGACTGGTCATACGTCGTGTACAAGATAGCAGTCATGGACAGGACGTTTCTTCCGTTAGTTCGCTCTTGGCGGCGTAAAGTGACAAACCTTCCAACCCCTCAGCCCCTCCCCCCTCCCTCCATATGATGGCAACAGCCCAGGATACCAGTTTGCAGTGAGCCTCATCCAGGAAGGTTGGGAAACCACGGTGTCCAAGCACCAGAGCCTCAGATTGAGTGGCAATAACCCTAAACCCTAAACCCTAAACCCTAAACCCTAAACCCTAAACCCTAAAACCCTAAATCAGATTGAGTGGCAATAGCTGTAGGGCTTTAAAAGCCGAAGTTTGCCTTGTGTGTGGTTTCGGAGGTTCAAGGCTGATCCTTCTAACTTTGGGGGGCACGACATCCCAGGTCCAGGGGCCCCAAGCCTTGAATTTTAGGGTTTAGGGTTTAGGGTTTAGGGTTTAGGGTTGAGGCCCTGAAACCCTAAGGAACAACTGGGTCAACATGGGGGTCGTTGGCGCACTGATCCTCAGCGTTCTGTTCTCAGCCATGAACCAGCCCTTCGCAAAGTCACCAGCCGACGACATGTGGCGCGAGCTCCGCGATTTCTTTGAGAAGGTCCGCCTACTGTAAACCTTGAGAACTAATGCCCTAATCCCAAACCCTACTGTAAGCCCTAAACCCTAAGCCCTAAACCCTAAACCCTAAACCCTAAACTCTAATTCCCTAGCCCATGGCTTAGGCCGTGAAGCCCGAAACTCGAAGTCCCAGACTTCCGCCTTGCAAGCGTTTTGGGCTTAGACGTTTAGGGTTTTGGGCTCTGCAAGTTGGCGGGCAGACCCCAAAAATCAACCACAATCCCTATATTCTCAAACCACACTTTTGAACCTTCAACTTTGGGATGTTCCCCTTGATACTAACAGTCCTTAACAGGGATGGTAAAGGGGGATACCATCATCCCTATTAAGGACTGTTAGTATAAGGGGGACCATCCCAACTTCAACTGGTCGAAGAGGCGTTGGTTGTCCTGATCTACCTGAGCACAACATTTGGCCTGGTGGCCGTTATCTTATCTATCACGCTACTGGTCCACATGCGCCATGGACAAAGCTTTGAGGGGAGTTCGCTAGGGCTTAGGATTTAGCCATAGGTTTACGATGTGGTTTTGCCTTCTTGTGGGCGGGCCACCGGCTGTTTTTTTTTTTGTGGCTTGGGGATGGACAGGGGGGCTTCCCTTGAAACCCTAAACCCTAAACCTAAACCCTAAACCCTGAACCCTGAACCCAAAACCCTAAACCCGAAACCCTAAACCCTAAACCCTGAACCCTGAACCCTGAACCCAGGAGCTTCTTCGTGCACGACCCCGATGACCTTCTCTACTTCATGCTGGTGCACACCGGCAGCTTTGTGGACCTCAGCTTGATATTCTGCCTCGTCTGCTTCGGAATCTCAGTTCCGATGGCGGCTGTGGCTGCCACAGCTTGTCTTGGCACTTTGTCCTATATGTCTTGTTATGATAGCAGCGGGACGATTAAGTAATCAGAAGGGTCATAGCAGTAAAGACAAGAAGAACAAGAGTCATGATAATACTAACGATAATATTAAGCATCATAGTTGCAGCCGGTAACTAGTTTCCATGTTTGAGACATGGGCCTCGCGAGCATCTGGAGGTTACGCTGGAAGATCCCACCATGCTGATCACGTTTGTGCCCGTCGCCATCATTCTGCTTCTTGGGAGCCCAGTGGTACCCTTTTCCCTTTCTTTGGTTCAAGGTTCCCTTACAAAGTAACCAGCCCAAAACAGGGTGCCCTTATCATAACATGGTCGCTGGGGCTACCAAGGCTTGGGGTGCTGGGCTTCTACCTCCGCTCCCTCTACTTACTCTCGCGGCGTGAGAAGGCCAAGGCCACACCTTCCCATAAGCAGAGCTTTGTCCAGATCGTGGCAGATGCGTCTAGGATGCCCAGTCGTACCCCTTATTCCCTTTTTGATCTTTTTGGGGGGTGTAACCCTTGTAAACCCTTAAAGCAAAAGAGGGCACCCTTTAAATTCCTAGGCTACTGGGCAACCCAGGCTTACGCGCAGATCCAACTCGAAAATGGCGTCACAGAGGAGCCCACTGGGGAAGGAAAGGTGGTGGAAGTCGTCTCGCCGAATCGCGCGGACGAGCTCCACGAGTCAAGCATGTGAGCCGCAAAGGCGGCGTAGGGCCAGCTGAGCCCAACCTGAAGACTCTGAAGCCTTATACCCTAAAACTCTACTTAAAACCTAAAACCTAAACCCTAAAACCTAAACCCTAAATCCGAAACCCTAAGCCCTGTCCCGAAACCCTAAATCCTAAACCCTAGACCTTAGCTGCCTCAAGAGCTGCCGCAAGATGCCCGCTCTCTGTTCCCTAGACTTGCCTGCAATTCAGAAGTCGCCAGCCTCACGATGCCGTCATGAGAATGGTCAAATGGGGGTCTGCGATATTGGGGGGTACCTTATTGGGGTCCTTTTTATAAGGGAATCCTACTATTTGGGGGTACCTTGTTCGGGGTCCCGTTTATACGGGAATCCTACTATTTGGGTCCATTTTAGGGGTCCTTTATTTTCGTAGACCCCCAAATGGAGCTGGCGAGCATGACAAAGTTTGCAAGCAAAACTCAAGACCTTTTGCGAGACTCCTCGCCTCAATCGTGCAAGAACAGCGCAGCTTCCTCTTCTCAGGTAGGGGGTCCGGACCTCAATGTGTCCATGCAATATGGGGGCCTGAATATTCAGAATAGGGGTTTGGGGTTTATTATGGTATACTTACAAAGGGACCACAAGGGAATATGATTAGTAATGATTCCGATGAATAGCCAGAACCTGGAGTGGTGCCCTCATTCTCTCGTTGAGAGGCCAGGTTTCCTTTATTGCATAGTTTGGGGTTTTCTCAACCCTGCACCCAAACCCGCAACAGTCCCTATACCCTAATCCCTAAACCCCAAACCCAGGCAGCTGAAGCCGCCGCTCGAAGAACGCAAACGAAGCCATCTTTGAACTCCCTGATTCCTCCCACGCCCACGCGGGCACCTATAGGCCCACATCCTGAAGCCCTTATAGGGCCAAAGATTTCATTGTTGAAGGTTTTGGAAGCATGCGAACTCATGTTCACCACGCCCTCGAATCGATCTTATTCATGTGATGACTGTTACCATGACTTCTTTGCTGCTGCTATGGTCTTCTCGTTTCTGATACCTTGGGATGTCCCCCCTCATACTAACAGTCCTTAATAGGCATTATAATCGGGGGATACTAGAATCCCGAATAAGGACTGTTAGTATAAGAGTGAACATCCCAACTAATACCCCCAACTCCCCACAAACAATCTAGGCCAAACCCAAGCCATGGCTTCAACTTGAAAAACCAAAGCACATGGCCCCCAACCCCGACGCTCAACCCTAAACGCTCAAGCCTGAACGCTAACCCTACGCCCCAAACCCTTTACCCCTAAGCCCTAAGCCCTAAGCCCTAAGCCCTAAGCCCTAAGCCCTAAGCTCTAAGCCCTAAACCCGAAACCTTCCTGCACGACGAGGCCGGAACGTTGTCCAGCGGTCGCTCCTGGGACTACGAGCCCGAGCGGCGCAGGCTGGGAGTTGCGCAGGGTTTAGACGGGTGAGGGTTGAGGGTTTAGGGTTTAGGGCTAGGGTTTAGGGTTGAGGGTTTAAAGTTTAGCGTTTAGGGAGTTCAAGCTTGGGGTTAAGGGTTTAGGGTTTAGCGCTAGGGAGTTCGAGAGATGGAGGCGCGCGTAGGGTTTTCGGGATGTAGGGGTTCTGGGTCATTTCGAGAGCTTGGTTTGGGGGTTGGGGGATTTGTGTTTGGGCTTCACATGGGTGTGGTTTGGGGTTTCAGGGTTTTAGGTACCTAAACCTAGACCCTAAACCCTAAACCCTAAACCCTAAACCCTAAACCCTCAACCCTCAACCCTAAAACCCTAAACTCCTAAACTCCTAAACTCCCTAAACCCCCTAAACCCTCAACCCTCAACCCTCAACCCTAAACCTTAAACTCTAAACCCTAAACCCTCAACCAAACCCGGCTTCTGCAGAGATTTGGATTGGTGGTAGGATTTGTTGTGGATCATAGCCAGAAGCGCTGCGGCTGCGGTTGCAACCTTCGGTGTTCACGTTCGGAACCTGTATGGGGGAATCCGGAATTAGGGGCTACCTTAATTATCGGGGTTTAGGGTTTAGGGTTATAAGCGGATCCTACTATTTGGGGGTCTGTACAAAGCGGTCCCTTATTTTGCAAATTCCCGTATACAGCCCCATGGCCTCAGAGCCTTATGTTGAGTGTACCCACTTGCGGCGTCTTCTGCTGCAAGTCCCGAAGCACTCGCCGCCCATCTGCGAGGCTGCGCGCGCAGCTTGATAAGAAGGCCGGGTCCCAGATGTGAAGGGGAGGGGAAGGTGCTTAGCACTAGGCCCTACTACGCCCGAATTAGCCCTACAAGCAAGCCCAAAGCAAATAGTCAGGATTGTGGCTTTAAGGGACGTGGGCAGTAGGGTTCATGGGTACTTTCGAGCCCCAGCTGAGTCCCCACCTTGTAAACCCGAAACGGCTACGCCCTAAAGCCTCATTGTGAACCTCGCAAATCCTCAGCAAGCTCCAAACTCCCCCCCCCCCCCCCTGTCTCTTGCACAAAGTGCGTTTGGGTTTAGGGTTTAAGCTTTGAGTCTAAGTTTAGGATTTAGGGTTTAGGGTTTGGCCATTCAAAAGAGGAAGCTCTGGAAATAGGGCGGTCTTTTCACACAGACTTGGCAGGCCCATGCCTCGCAAGCCTTCATGCCAGGGTCTCCTGCTTGCCGTGCGATGTCCAGTTGGTCCACCCAGCCGAAATGACTGGCAAACGCTTAGTGTCCTAAAGCAGCAATTGCGTCAAGGCTGCTCCTGCTCTTCTTGTTTTGCGCCACATCAAACTCAAAAAGCACCCTGCTGACCTGACTCCGACACGGCGTTTTGGCGGGTTTTGACAAGCATCTTGGGCAAAAATCAACACTGCGGTCGCTGACAGTCAGGGAAGAACAGCGCGAAGTGCTTGCCTGTCTGGGCAAACGACCTGCGCTTGAAGTGCATTGCTGTTCTCGTGGCATACATACCAGGACGGGCCATTATACCCCATAACCTCTGAAAAAGGCCCTTTATGGGTTGGTTGTGTGGATTATAAGGCCTAGTAGCCCATCCTGGCATGCACATCGTCAAAGCCAGCAGCCAGCACCGCCAAAGTCCTCGTAGATGCCGACCCTCGGATCACATTGGCGAGCAGACAGAAATACTCTGCACAAGCTGACCCTAAAACCCAAACCCTAAACCCTAAGTTAGGCCTTAAACCCTAAACCCTAGCCTTAAACCCCGCACAGGCCGGCCATGTCTTGGCGACAAGATCTGACCCACTTGTGGTCGTAAATCATGTTGGTATTCTTCGCTTTCCCAGGCGCCATGGGCGATGCACAGAAGAACTGGGGCATCAGCCTCCTACTTGCAGGGTTCTCCCAAAGCCTGCACCATGCCAACAGCCTGCAGCAGAGGCCTTGCCCCCCCGACCCTAAGCCTGACGCCCTCAACCCTAAACGCACCCCCCCCCCCCCAAAGCTGCTCAAGGCCCTCGAGCACCCGATCCTGAGCCCCAGATAACCCCAGAAGCCCGAGGTTGACATTGAAGCAGCCCTGATGGAGGCAGCGCCTCGGGAATTTGGGACACTGTAGGGCTGTGGGGTCTGCCAGTGTTTTCCCCCTTAGTCTTCTAAGGAGCTCACGCTCCAAATGGGCCTTAAGCCCTAAACCCTAGATCCTAGACCCTAGACCCTAAACCCTAAACCCTAAACCCTAGACCCTAAACCCTAAACCCTAAACCCTAAACTGTGACAAGCCCTAAGCCCCAAACCCTGTCGAGCACTAAGCCCTGAGCCATATGTCGGGGAGGAGCGCGCCCGCGCAGCAGTGCTCCAGCGATCCACGGTAGCCGTCATCGGGCGACTGCAGGCGCCTTTCAGGGATTTGGGAAGGGTTCAGGGTTCAGGGTTCAGGGTTTAGGGTTTAGGGTTTCGGGTTTAGGGTTTAGGGTTTAGGGCCCGAGGGTACTTCGAGTTTAGAGATCCCTAAGCCATAAATTCTCCAAACCATGGACTCCCTAAGCTCCCCAAAGTCCTTAAACCCGAAACCCTGCAGGTTTTGTCTTTGGGTCGTCAGTCTAGGGTTTGGGGCTCGCAGTTAGGCTTTACTGCCGTGTTGCAGCTGCATAAGTCAAGGGCTTCGGGGGTTCGAGGTTTCTTGGGTTTCCATAGAAGTTTAGGGTCAAAGGGCCTTTAAGGTTTATATGTGGGGGTTCTAGGAGAATTTGTAGGGGTTTGGGGATTTACTAGGGTTCCAGGAGAATGTGTAGGGTTGTGGGCTCTTTTCGAGCTTAGAAGTGGTGTGGAAAGCTGGGACCTCGAAGTGCCTCGCCTCGCGAAGCCTCAGCCCCACTGTAAGCCCTATGTCAACTTTAGAGCTTCTGAGGCCTTAGGCCCCGTAGACTTTAACAACATAAAGCCCTCTAAGCTTTTCAGTCCCTCTACCCTAAACCCGAAACCCTAAACCCTAAACCCTAAACCCTAAACCTGGTTTAGGGCCTTTTCTTAGGCGTCTTTGACAGGAGCAGATGGAGGAGCTCGCGATGAAAGCCCAGTCCGTGCGTGGCCTGGCGAAGTTCATGCCTCCGGACTTCCGGATCCTGGCTCCCCAAGCCCTCTACTAAGGGTTTAGGGTTTAGGGCTAGGGTTTAGGGTTTAGGGTTTAGGGTTTGGGGTTGGGGTTCGGGGAAGGAGGGGAATTCGGTACTTTATAGAAGGTTTTGGAAAGGTTGATATACGGGGGTACTACTTAGAACCAGAAGGTCTGGAGCCTGAACCCAAAACACCCTCTGGATGTCGACACCCTAAACCTTAGTAAGGTTCAGGGTTTAGTTATATGGGTTCTTCTCTAATTTAGGATCCTTTTTGGGGGCCCTTTTTATGTAGTTCACAAGTTAAAGCACTACCCACATACCCCAAATAGAGTCCAATCCCGTTCACACGGACCTCCAAAATTGGTACCCAGAAGGTTGACAGCCCAGGCTTACCCTAATCCCTAAACCCTAAACCCTAATGCTTAAACCCTGAAGCCGCATGTATGGGGCTTGAAGTCCCGAAGCCAGCCTTCCACTGCCCAAGCCATTCAATTTCGGGATCACGCCATTAAAACTGCAGGACCTAAACGCGCCAAACCTTGCAAACACGTGAATCCTCCCAGGACGAACCCGAAACCCTAAGCCAGCCCCCTTTGAAGCCGAAACCCTATGAGCCCTGTGTCCTGACGGTAGGATGTTGGGTGTTCCAGGCTAGGGTATGAACAACCTATGCCCAACAGAATCATAGGCAATATAAGCCTCCCTGTTTGCACCAGGGCATCGAATAGTTTAGGGTTTAGGGTTTAGGGTTTAGGGTTTAGGGTTTAGGGTTTAGGGTTTAGGGTTTAGGGTGTCATCTGTGTTTGTTAACCTAGGACCCGGAGTAGGACCCGGAGTAGGCCCGGATTTCCTTTGTTTAGGGCTGGGCTTCCCTTGTAATCCCCTTAAAGCAGAAAGGAACAGAAGAGCCTTGCAGTGGCGGAGGTCGGATTTCGGGCTGGATTTGGGGTCAGTGGCGTCGTCGGTAGGGCTAACCCTAACCCTAAACCCTAAACCCTAAACCCTAAACCCTAAACCCTAAACCCTAAACCCTAAACCCTAAACCCTAAACCCTAAACCCTAAACCCTAAACCGGGCAGCTTCAGGCTAGAGGATAAGATTGCGCAGCCCAGGTGATGGCAACAGCCCCTTTGTGCTGTCAACGTCCTATCGGCCGCTCTTTTTCACCTTCAGCGACATTTGGGGGCCCTAACCCTAAACCCTAAACCCTAAACCCTAAACCCTAAACCCTATGCCCGAAACCCCAAACCCTGAACCCTAAACGCTAAACCCCTTTGCCCTTGCTATTCCGCAACGGTTATCGCAGGAGTCCTGTTGAGCTTGGAACCTTGGGCCCAACCAGTAAAATTCCCTGGCAGAACCCCAGCCCTTTTGTTGTAATAGACTTTTTAAGACCCGATGGTAAACATAAAAGGGGCGGTTTAGGGTTTAGGGTTTAGGGTTTAGGGTTTGGGGTTTGGGGTTTGGGGTTTGGGGTTTAGGGTTAACCCGTTCAGCTCTAAGGGTTTTAAGGGTTTAGGGCTTAGGGTTTAGGGTTTAGGGGGTGGGGGCGGGGGGGGTGGGGGGTTGTTACAGTATATGTTTACAGGGGGCCATAAGGGAATACCATTAAGTAATTCTTCCGATCCCTATATGCGTAGTTCTTTGAATTAGGGTAACTTTTTGGAAGCCCTTTTTTTAAGGGTGCCCGCCTCATAATGGGTCTTCAAGGACCCTATTTTAGGAAACTTGGATCTAACCTAAAGGGTTTAGGGTTAAGGGTTAAGGGGCAAGGGTTAAGGGTTGAGGGTTGAGGGTTTACCTTTTTTATTCCCCACACTCGGTGTGGGGTTGTTGGATTTTAAACTCAACTCTTCTCCTCGCCCGGAACTCTTATCCTCACCCGGAACTCTCCTCCTCACCCGGTCTATTCCTCACTCATCCCTGGAGTGCCCAACCCCAAATGTCCCTGCAATGCCCAACTCTAGAGGGTCCCTGGAGTGCCCAGCCCCAAAGTCTCCCTGAGTGCCCAACCCCAGAGTCTCCCTGAGTGCCCAACGTGTTCCCGGAGTGCCCCAACCCCAGTCTCCCTGGAGTGCCCAACCCCAGGGTTTTCCTGGAGTGCCCAACCCCAGCCCCAGAGTCTCCCTATAGTGCCCAACCCCAGAAAGTCTCGTGCCCAACCCCCGAGTGTCCCCGAAGTGCCCAGCCCCAGAGTGTCCCTGGAGTGCCCAACCCTAGAGTATCTCTATCAAGAGAGGGTGGGGATGTTCGAAGTAAAATAATTCCTAAACCCTAAACCCTAAACCCTAAACCCTCAACCCTCAACCCTCAACCCTCAACCCTCAACCCTCAACCCTCAACCCTCAACCCTCAACCCTCAACCCTCAACCCTCAACCCTCAACCCTCAACATTGGGTCTAGTCGCTCTTGAAATTCACAGCCAGTCAGGATCCCAAACACGCCGCTCCAGTTCGTCAGCCGCTACGAGCAAGGCGCGGCAGACAAGAAGCAGCCAACGCGTTCTACATGGTCCCCAGCTCCACAGGCTAAAATCCCCTACTAAAACTCACAGAAAGGGGTCCTAACAACCCTAAACCCTAAGCCCTAAGCCCTAAGCCCTAAACCGACCGCCAAAAGCCTCCCAAAGGCCACCAAAAGGGCCTGCAAAGGGCCCCCAAAAGCCCCGCATCACTCCTGGGTTTTCCTCTCCTCTCATTTCCTCTCCTTTCCTCTGGTCTCCTTCCTTTCCTCTCCTTTTTGTTTTCCTTTTCCTTTGCCTTTTTACTTTTCCTTTTCCTTTGCCTTTTTACTTCTCCTTTTCCTCTCCTCTCTTTTCCTTTCCTAGAACCCAGAGTAGTTTTGGGATCTTAGATTTTATGGTACCCTTTGTTCCAGTTGATTCAAGAAGGGTTTTAGGGTTTTAGGGTTTTGGGCTGCACTCCCATACAAGCCGCAAAAAAGAGGAGCAAAACAGCATCGCAGGGTGCACTTTGTTTTTTGGGGGTTGTTGGCGTTTTGGGGTGTTGGGTCTTTGAGATTTTTGGGCTTCGTCAGCTTAACATTGCACCTTCAACGTGACAAAGCTTTCTCCCAACAGGACGTGCCAACATCGAGCTCACCCTGACGCCAGACAAGGATCCCACGAAGTCCGAAGGAGGATTCGCCGAGTCGATTGGTCCGGCAAACATCGGAGTCTCCTTCGACGTGGGGGTGTAGGTCCGAGGGCAAGGCATCCTTTTTGGGCCAATGCTTGCAAGATTCAGAGTGAGGGCTTTGCTTGGCTTTCCTGCAGCTGCCTTCCATCCTAAGCCCTATTTAGGGTTTAGGGTTTAGGGTTTAGGGTTTAGGGTTTAGGGTTTAGGGTTTAGGGTTTAGGGTTTAGGTTTGAGCCCTAAGCATCCTCAGGGCCCCCTACAACCTTGGGGGGTTCCAAGACACAGCATTTCGAGGCCAAGGGTGCGTCGGCTCAGCCCAGCCTTAGCCCCGGAATGGATCGCAGGACGTGGCAGAAAGCGGTGTATTCAGACCATCGCAACCATCGTAGCCGCACACCATGAGGGTTCAGGTGTCACGGTTCAGGGTTCAAGCTTCGGGGGCTCTTTGAGGTTAAGGGTTTAGGGTTTAGGGTTAAGGGTTTAGGGTTTAGGGTTAAGGGTTTAGGGTTTAGGGTTCAGGGTTTAGGGTTTAGGGAGCGTAGAGCTTGCCAGTGCAGCCGCTTGTTTGGCACACGTCCCTGCGGCCTGTTCTTCTTGCATGGCGCTGCCGGAGGGACCATTTGGGCTAAGTATTTGAGGAGCCGGAGTGGTACCCCAATCCCCTTTTCGAACCACCCCCCCCAAACCCTGAACCCTGAACCCTGAACCCTGAACCCTAAACCCTAAACCCACAACAAAGGTCACTCTTCTTGTCATGAGACTGATAGAGCCATCGCACTCTGGGATTCTTGCTGCCAGGCCCTTTGGCACCCTCTACCTTTCTTGTGGGGGTTTAGGGTTTAGGGTTTGGGGTCTAGGGGCGAGTAAGCCCTACAAACCCGAAGCCCTCAACCCATCAGCCAGCTCATAGACCTCCTAGCTTTGGGATCTGCCCCCAAACCCACGGGTGGCTCCACTAAAACCCTCGAGACCTCCCCACAGCCTAAACCCCAAACCCTAAACCCCAAACCCCAAACCCTAAACCCTAAACCCTCAACTGAAGCCCCTAGAACACCTCTCAACCCACAACTATCGAGCCTTTGGGTGTAGCTAACCAAAACACAAACCGCTACGGTCTTACCAGGATGTATTCCATTTTCTTAAGGGGTTGGCTCCCCTGTTAGCCCTGCCCCCTCCCCCCCCCCCACCCAAGGTTTTTCCCTAAATCACTCAGGAACCCTAAACCCTAAGCCCTACGCCCTAAATCCTAAACCCTGAAACCCCCTAGCCCACCCAAGACCCTACGCCGGGAATGTCGAGGCCTGCTGGCAGCCCCATATTTCTGCTGCTTAAGAGCTTCGGGGTGCGCTTTGTGGAGCCTGGGGATTGCGCCTGAAGCCCCTAACAACCAACCCCAAACAAGGGAACTGGAGGGTTTGGGGTTTAGGGTTTAGGGTTTAGGGTTTAGGGTTTAGGGTTTAGGGTTTAGGGTTTAGGGTTTAGGGTTTAGGACCGAAGCAGAGCCCTCAACGCCACGAACGTTTGCGTACCAGGTCCTTGGTTTTTGCCAGATGTTGTCTGGGCCCCTAAGCCGTGAACCCCAGCTGATCCCTGAGCCCTATTCCTATATTCTTCTTCTTCTTTTTCTTCTTATTCTTAATATTACTATATACATATATACAAATACACATATGCACTATTTTAAAGTTTGTAATATTCGTACCTATTTTGTACACAGACACATTATACATGCAGACTTACATACGTACACAGATATGTACACGCACATACGTACGTATACACATGTATCTAAACACACACGTTTCGTCTCACAGGCCCTTGAGGCTTTATGTTGTGTAGGGGATGGCTTCGCAGCCGCAGCTCCAAAGCGTACCGTTGCCCACGAGACGACATGAGAGTGGCTGCATGGCCCTGCAACGACCCCCAAAGGAAAAAGAGTCAGGGTTTAGGGTTTAGGGTTCAGGGTTCAGGGTTTAGGGTTTAGGGTTTAGGGTCCAGGGTCGTCAACCCTGAGCCCTAAGCCCTAACCCTAAACCCCAAACCCTAAACCCGAGACCTTGAGATGAATCGCCCCGCCTCCTGATACGACTCCCTCCCGCGATTGCAACCCGAAGGTTTAGGGTTTCAGGTTTCGAGGGTGAACGGTTTAAGGTTTAGGGTTTAGGGTTTAGGGTTTAGGGTTTAGGGTTCCCTAAATTCTGAATGCAACGACATAGGCCCAATATACCACCATCCACAACTCCAGGAGACCTGAAGTCCGAAACTTTGCACAGGCAACTTTTAGCAGGAGATGGCCGGGTTCAGTGTGTGTTCGGTGATGGATGGGGTCTAGGGGTTCAGGGTTCAGGGTTCAGGGTTTAGGGTTTAGGGTTTAGGGTTTAGGGTGTAGGGTTTAGGGTTCAGGGTTCAGGGTTTAGGGTTGAGGGTTGAGGGCTTTCGGGATGAAACAGACGGAAACCTCAGGGGCGTCGGCTTTGGGAGACCGAGTTCCTCTCTAGGGGATTGCCACTAACTACCCGCAAGGGTTTAGGGTTTAGGGTTTAGGGTTTAGGGTTTAGGGTTTCGGGTACCCCAAGCTCTAAACCCCAAAGCCTGAACCCTTCCCGTGAGAGCCAGGATGGCGCAGAGTGCAATTGACTTGGGAATTGTGATTCTGCGCAAGGCCGGGCAGCCCAAATCCGAAGAGTGGCATTTGGTTTTCTGGGTTTCGGGTCTTGTGGGCCCCTAAGCCCTAAGCCTCAAGCCCTAAGCCCTAAACCTTAAGCCCTAAACCCTCAACCCTTAAACCCTAAACCCTAAGCATTTCAATCCCTCATCACAGCAGACCTGGGACCCTTTAGAAACCCAATTCCGAGGGTCAGGGTTTAGGGTTTCGGGTTTAAGGGTTTAAGGTTTCGGGTTTAGGGTTTAGGGTTTCGGGTTTAGGGTTTAGGGTTTCGGGTTTCGGGTTTCGGGTTTAGGGTTTAGGATTTTAGGGTTTAGGGTTCAGGGTTCAGGGTGCACCCTAGGTCCCCGAAGCCCAAAGCCCTGGTTTAGGGTCTATTTTTTAGGGTTTTGGGTTTAGGGTACAGGGTTTGGAGTTTGGGGTTTGAGGGAAGCATGGGCCTTGTCACTGGGTTTTCCATGCCCAGGCCAGTGGTCTCGTCCGCTTCCAGGCCCACCGCCGGATGTTTGACAGTTATGACTTGGGATGTTCCCCCTTATGTAGAGTGTAGGGTTTATGGTAGAGGGTTTCGGGTTTAGGGTTCTGGGTTCAGGGTAGCTATTGGGATGTTCCCCCTTATACTAACAGTCCTTAGTAGGGATTATAGTACCGTAGGGTGTCGGGCTTTGCAGGGTTTTCGGGGTGTTTGCAATTTGGGGCCAAGGCCCTAGGTTAGAACAAGCCCTTCAGAGTTCAGGGTTAGGGTTTCCGGCTTAGGGCTTCGGGTTTAGGGTTTAGGGAGTTTAGGGTTTCGGGTTTAGGGTTCAGGGTTTTTTGGGGGGATGCAGGAGAGACTGACTCTTCGGCTGAACGCATGGAGTACACCCCGAGCTACGAGCCCTCGCCGGAACGGGATTTCAGCGTCTCTCTGACACCTCCTGCTTCTCCGAGTCAGCCCAGCCACAGTGCACAACTGGTGCCCTCCGGCTTGGACGACTCTCAGCCTAAACTGGGTTTAGGGTTTAGGGTTTAGGGTTTAGGGTTCTTGAAGCCCTCGTCTGGCTTGCGAGCCTGACAGAGACCCTGAAGACCTAAGGCGAGAGGAATGCCATGCCATCGTGGCCACATGCTTGCAGGCCCTCCTTGCGGATGTCGACGGTGCATTGTGGAATCGGGTTGAGGGCTTAGGGTTTAGGATGTTCACAAGGGTTTTGGGTTTAGGGGTTTCGGGTTTTCGGGGTTTCGGGGTATTCGGGGTTAGGGTTTAGGCTTCTAGGGTTGAGGGGTGTAAGGGTTTAGGGACTAGGTGTGTTTGGCTTTGGGGCTGAAAGGGTTTGGGGGCTTAAGGGTTGGGGGCTTAGGGTTTAGGGTTTCGGGTAGGGTTTCGGGTTTAGGGGTTAGGGTGCTCTGCATTCTGCTCATGACTTCTCATGGACCGTGGAGTGCAAGACAAGCCCTGAATCCCTAAACCCGAAACCCTAAACCCTAAACCCTAAACCCTAAACCCTAAACCCTAAACCCTAAACCCTAAACCCTAAACCCTAAACCCTAAACCCTAAACCCTAAACCCCCTAGAACTTGACTGGACTGCTGGGTCGGTCGAGCGCAAAGCAGATGGCTGCATAGGGTTTCCAGCCTGCCTGCCAAACACTGGTTAAACCCTAAAACCAAAAACCCTAAACCCTAAACCGTAAATCCCGAAACCCTTTAAGCTTCAAGGTGCAGTCTCCGAAAACGCAGATGCTGGAGGCGCTGTCGACATTTTCCGAGGATGCCCCACAGTACCCACATATTCCCTTTTGTGGGGTTGAGGGTTTAGGGTAAAGATCGCATAGTTTCACAAACCTTGCCCTAAACCCTAAACCCTAAACCCTAAGCCCTAACCCTAAACCCCAAACCCTAAACCCCTAAACCGTCCCTCAGCCCTAAACCCTAGCCCCAAGGGTTTCTGAGCTTAAAATGCAACCCCTCGGGTTCAGGGTTTAAACCCTAAACCCTAGACCCTAAACCCTAAACTTGAGTTCTGTCCAGTTCTGCCGCAGTTATGCTGAGAGAGATCATTGTGTCTTCGCTTGACCCTAGCCCCGAAACCCTAAACCCAAGACCCGCCACAAAACTCCGACTTTTGCCCCATGAACCAATCACGTCCTGGAGTCGAAGAAGCCTTACAACTCCCATACCCGAAGCCCGGAAGACCCTAAAGCCCCAAATCCCAGGGTTTTTAGGGCTTTAAAGGGGTTTCAAGCGCTGAAAGGATCTTGGGCTGAGGGACCCCGGCCCTGAACACTGGGGGTTTAGGGATTCAAGGCTTCCAAGAGGTTTGGAGCCCACTGCCCTCAGAGTCGCAAGCAGGCCCTAAACCCTAAACCCTAAACCCTAAACCCTAAACCCTAAACCCTAAACCCTAAACCCTAAAC